CATTATACACACATGTGCGATACACCGGGGGGCTGAACTCAGGAAGTCCAGGTAAACCGAGGACCCCACATTCATATTCGAAAACCTCTGAGGGCCGCTGTGGGGTGCAGCATGTGTAGGAAAAGGACGGAACCCCCTTCCGGATGTGCGGAGAAATAAACAGAGTTAGCTGGAAACACACGCACGCCACACCAAGGCTGTGTCCGGAGCTCGGGGGGACACCACCGGCCAAGTTACTCTGAAACTCATTTTCAAGTATTTTTTATAGGAGTATAGGAAGGGAAATAACAAGACGCTTCAACTGACAGTACTAATGGAACCCTTTCATTATACCCCACTTTTTACAATTATTTTATAGAGATAATAGATATGAACAGATGAATGGTGGGTAATTTCCATATAATGATCAGAAATTGGATATGCATAAATAATGGACTCTAAAAAATGTTCTATTTACTTTCATTAGGAGTAAAATGTGGTTCTGCACTGATCCTTCGGCTGCCTCCACCTCAGTATTCAAACACATGACCTCGAGCCAATCGGTTTCAATTATAATAACTCAACCAATCAGTGAAGGGGTACTGACAGCCAATGGGTGAGTTGGGTGCAGGAGGTCATATTTGGGGGTCACATTGCATGTGTGTGTGTGGGTCAGTCATATATTACATTGTGAGAACCAAATGTCCCCTCAATGTGATAAAAACCTGCTATTTTGACATTGCGGGGTCCATTTTTTCAGTCCCCACAAGAGGAAACTCAATTTAAAAAATATTTGTGTCTATAATCAGAAATCTAGAAATGTCAAATGTCTTGTATTTGTTGCTTATGGTTAAGGTTAGGGCTGGGTAACATTTAAGGTTGTCATTGTTGGAATTAAGGTTATGCCTATAGTGTGTGTGTTGGAGTGGGGGGGTGGTGATGGGGAGGGATGGTATGTTTTCAAAGGGAGTGGTTTTTGGCATCGTGCCCATCAGCACGCATCACCCATGGCTGACAAGCTGCCCACCCCAGAAATATTTCTCCCAACCCATTTGCAAATATTTAAGTGGTGCATGGGGCGGAGCGGAAGGGGGGGGTGCCTTACATCCCAAAATGAGGCTTGGCTTGAGCAGTGTGATGATCAGAGAATCCCTGGAGAGCTACCATTGAAGTATTTTTACACCACATGAAAAATGCTGTGGAGGGAACCTGCAATGTTCATCACTTATGTTAAGCAGATCTTTGACGGATAGGCCCTCTCCATTATGACTGAAGAAAGGCCCATTGACAGACACTTGACCATCTGCTGTCAATGCCTGAAGGGTATGTATGTTCCTGTGAGCTACACTGGCCCAGCATCTTGCACCCAAATGCTCTTAAGGAAGTGGTCTTTGGTATTTGATGCACTAATCCTCTGTCTGCTTTGCTTGTCCTGGGAGGCTCTATTACAGATTACGATTACATTCATTTAAATCCGTGCAACACCATTTGCAAAGATCTGACGAGCAAGCGTGTAATTATTCGCAGAAGTCTTTCAAGATTTGTGGTGGTTACGTACACAAAATCTTTAAATGTATGGCAGTGGTACAAATATGGACATATTTTTTTAATATAAATAACCTCATGAAATCATCATAAAACATTCACATTTAATTTAGGTTTATGTGCGTCAAGATACGGGAACCACCAGACCAACGGATCTTGAAACTATACAAATACAGGTTGCCTGGCAACAGCAAAATGAAATCAATACGATTGGTTGAACCTAAACCCATCCTGCGACTTTAATGAGACTGTAAAGTGTGCACTTAATGAATGCCTTCCAGGACAACAGCTACTCACCGAAAATATCCCAAGATGACAACGGCTACCATGAGAGATCCCAGGGAGACAGAGTAGCCCACGGTGTAAATCAGAAATAGTCGGTCAAAGACGTCCTGCAGGGACATAAAAGTAACAGTTATTATTTTATTTTTTTTTCAAGTACATGTCATATTCTTCAAACACATGCATAGGCATACAAGGATTTTATATTTATAGGTCTCTGAAAGGATCTTAATCCAATGCTCATGTGGACCTGAGTTTTAGGAAGAGCTGACGACAATATATAAAATTGAAGCCAGAAGAATTTCTGTGTCTAGGCCTAGGGTGGTGGGGGTAGGATAATTTAGGGTGTAATGTACTGGGGAAGGGGGTTGACCTGCAACAAGCGAACATAATGATCCATCCAAGTTTTAGGGAACGACGCAAAGACTGAATGAAATTAACATGAGTGTTTAAATAGCAACAAAACAAAGTGTACTTCCAGCACGTAAAATGACTGTTAATAAAGAGCACCAGAAAGAAAGAACAAATAAAACAACATTTTGTAAACCAAATGTTAAATGCTATTTACAGTGTATTTACTCAACATAACTATGATTACTATAGTAAAACAAACGAATGATAACATCCGGATCTATGCAAACCTCCACAGGACCTCCATCACAATATTCCCAACCTCATCTTTGTTTGGTTTTGGGATTGAAATCTGAAGCCCCCGTTTTCTGTAAGCTGACCCTAGGTGACCAAGGAGGCTAAAGTCAACTTGCGGCCACAATTGAAAACATTGGTCAAAGGCACTGGGGCTGTCAGGAATGGAGTGGCTAGCGGTCAGTCTCCGTCTGGGACTAGCAGTAACGAGGCAGCCAGAGGCTGCTCCGTGGAGAGATCCAGCAGCTGCATCACTGTGGCCTTCTACAGCCGTGTTTCCCAATCTGGTCGTCGGGGACTCACAGATGGTCCGCCTTTGTGCTCCCTGCCAGACAGTCCACATTTCTGCTCCCTCCCAGCTCCTGGTAGGAGCAAAAATGTTTATTGTCTGTAGGTCCCCGAGGACCGGACTTCTAGAGGGATGCTGGGCAGAGGGTGAAACCAGAGCCGGCACCATGGTTATCATTTAGCATGAACCAAGGGCCAAACCCAGGCCCCGGGTCGCAGTAGATTGTAAATGCCTGAGATAAAGTTGATTCCAATAAGTGGCGGAAAAAAACGCAAGACTGAATTACAGGGAAAAGCATAACAAGAAAACAGACCATATCAGGCTAATAGTCATTCTGTGGCCATTTTGGCAGATGCTCTAAGACGGAAATTGTTTAATCTGCACTTGCAAAGAGCAGGAACCATGCCAGTACCTACCATGGAGGACACTGAGGTAGTCCTTGGTATTTTTTTCTGCACCTCCAATAACCACGATACATTACAGGGCGCACCTAGGGAGGGCTAACACTTTGGACCTCGGTATTTTAAACATCCTGGTTGCAGCGCTGGCCTGAACAAATTCTACCACGGAGAACATTAACACTACGACATCAACGAAGAAAGACTTCAGTTTCTAAAAGAATTACTTCAGTACACTGCAGTAGCTAGATTCTGAATCCAAACAAAATGCTTTCAGATCAACAGTCTTCACTACAGCTACACCGTAATGTCTCACACAATGAGCATCTGTCTTTTCGTGCATGTCATTCATCTGCATTTCAATGAAAACATTTTCTTTCATCATAAAAAATGAGTGAATTAAGGAAAACCTTATATACAGCACTTGCCCAAGGCTTCGGCAAAAGGGACGTTTTTTTAAAAGGAAGCATTTTTACACATCAAAAGTCTTACGCAATATTGTGAAGCTCAGTGTATTCTAGAGTTTACAGCAGGGTCTTGCCTTAGCAGTTCGTTTGCAAACCAGATCAAAGCCAAACCAGGGGTTTCATATGGAAACTATGGGTACAGTATATATGCCATTTTTTTTTACCCTTAATTGATGTTCTTAATTACACCATGATTTGTTCGTGGATTTTCAAAGAAATAAATTGCATGGACGGAGCTGTTTCCAGTTAATACGTTAGTGTCATTACCAACCGTCTGATATACATGCGAAAATTATGTGTTCAGTAAGGCGGTCGTGAGTCCGGTGTGGGATTCCAGTTGAAATGTTATTTCTTGAGGTGTAGGACGAGTTCCATTTGGCAGTCTGACATATAACGATGAAAGGGGAGGGGGCGTGGGGGGGCTCTTTCAAAAGAAATGTGAACAAAAACCAAAATCTAAACATAGAACCTCCTCTATAATTTAGCCTATAGAATAGTGGAACATTTCTATGCTTTATTTTTAGCAGCTGTAACTCGAGCATCTAATAATCCATCTGCTTTCTGGCTCCCTGTCACATTTTTAACCAGATGCACGTAGATTAGCAAATTGGAAAATGGGGAGAAAATGAGAACCAGGCATGCTGACGGCTTTTCCGATCTGATGGCGTTTTGACTTCCAAAAATACTGAATCTACAGCTCCGGATATACCTGGAAAATGTGTCAAGGAAGTGTGCATGAGTGCAACGATAGCTGTAAAATGTGGCCAGTATAAAACCAGTATCACTTCCCAAAATGCTCATTATCACCTTCTAATCAGAACCATAAGAATCATAAAGAAATATTCAAATCATATCAAAGAAGATATCTATGTGCAAACCTAATGAAATGCGAAGCTTTGACACACACACACACACACACACACACACACACATATATACATAATCTTTAAGTGTATATATACTATATACTGTATATAAGATTATCCCATTTGCTTTTCATGTTATTGTTTTGATGAATCTGATATCACAAAGCTATTTACAGTACCCCATATTGGACCAGTGTGCAGTGAGCCTAAGTCAAGTGTAGCATTACTTCATCACAAGCACATGGCTGTCAACAAGCTGTCAACTTACAGGCGCTACTAGGCTGAGCTTCCAATCAGTAACCAGTAATAAACGCAGAGCTAGACACACACCTCAGGAAAGCGTTTTGAATAAAGCGCACAATCACTACACCAAATATTTACACGAGTTCCATATTTAGCAGATACTGAAGCAACAGGTTCCGCCAAACAGCCAGCTACCGATGATCCTGCAAACGTTTAAGACTGATACAACCACGATGCGATCATTTTCCAGTGGTGCCGCGAGAAACCAAAAAGATAGGAAGTCTCTGACAGAGACCGGTTTCTTCACGACTAACAAAGTATCTGATGAGCTATTTTGCTGCCGTATATCAGTCATCAGAAATTCCACGTGGGTTTGTGAAATACAGGAAATTCAGAGAAAGAGACGTGCACGCAAACCGCCACGTGCACGCAAACCGCAATGCCACCACATACCTAATTTACCGAGCAGCGATACCTTTTAACCTCTGAAAGCTTTTAATTGCTGCAGGGCTCACTAGGTAGGGTGCATTTGGCCACGTGCCCCCAGTGGAATCGTAAGCTTTTAAAACCAATTGCCGGATGCTTCACACTGACCTGTTTTTATTTCGGCCTAGAGGCTTCTTGCACGTAAACGCCGTGATGAGCATTAATATAATGATGCAAGTAATTCAATTCCAATGGGGTATTTCAAAGAAACTGTGTGAGTCAACATAAGCAATTATTTTGCATTATTTTAGCAAAGGCATTAAACATGGCAACATCTGTGAAACAGTGGGGGGGGGGGGGGCGTTGCTTAAAAATGCTGTGAGTGTTTTAATGAAGGACATGACATGTTTTCTGTGATGTACAGCAGCCGTTTACGGACTACAAAAATCAGTATATAGCCTCTTTTCGTCACCCAGAGTATTACTTGTCCCTGCTTGTCTGAAAGCTTGAGAAAAACAGAAGAACCCCTGTTATCAGCTCTAAAAGTAATTTATGTTATTGTGCTACAGATGGTCCTTGTACAGCTGGACGAGAGAAAAATTACAGATGAAAGTGTCAGTGGCTTAGAAACTGGCTCTGTATTCAGGGTAACAGGTTCTTTCCTCTTCCAGATGGATTTCAGATGGATCTGCAGCCAAGTTAACCCAAGATTTGACGGGGAATCTAAATGTAGCGCGGATGAATCACCGGGAGACGTACCTTTTCGCGGCTCTGGTTGTAATGAGCGAGAAACTTGGCACATTCGCTGTAATTGGCCCAGGTTTTGTTGTTTGTGCTGGCCAGCTCCCAGGTCCCATTCATATCGCAGCGGCGGTAGGCGTGGCCTAGCGATGCAGGAACGAATCACATTTATCCGGCAGCAGCAGGAAGACACAGAGAACATCCATTAGAAACAATATGCCTGCAGTTACAGTATATAACATAAGAGCATACATAGAAAGAAAATGAAGTCAATTGTGTTAAAGGACATTTGTAATAAATGGCATATGAATTCTACTAATACTTCTACTTATAATCCTACTGTAGCATTAATCAGGGGTAAAAGGGGGGGTTGGATCAGGGGCCCTAAATGTGTGGAACATTATTTTATTACATTGGTCTGGGTTGGGGGCCAATATGGTATGCTTTCATGGGGCCCAAAATCTGCAACGGAACCCCAGGTATTAGTAATTATGAAAACCATATTAATCCATACATCTTCCACAATGACTTAGCATAAAATCTGAGTGATTTTGGAGCCTATCCCAATGGGGCATGAGGCAGGGGACACCCCGGATGGGATGCCAGTCCATCACAGGACACAAGGCAGGGGACACCCTGGACGGGATGCCAGTCCATCACAGGGCACAAGGCAGGGGACACCCTGGACGGGATGCCAGTCCATCACAGGGCACAAGGCAGGGGACACCCTGGACGGGATGCCAGTCCATCACAGAGAACAAGGCAGGGGACACCCTGGATGGTGTGCCAGTCCATCACAGAGAACAAGGCAAGGGACACCCTGGACAGGATGCCAGTCCATCACAGAGAACAAGGCAGGGGACACCCTGGATGGGATGCCAGGCCATCACAGGGCATAAGGCAGGGGACACCCTGGACGGGATGCCAGTCCATCACAGAGAACAAGGCAGGGGACACCCTGGACGGGATGCCAGTCCATCACAGAGAACAAGGCAGGGGACACCCTGGACGGGATGCCAGTCCATCAAAGAGAACAAGGCAGGGGACACCCTGGACGGGATGCCAGTCCATCAAAGAGCAGATACTAAAGCACAATGGGTATCACCTAATTTCATGTTTTTCGTCTGTAAGAGACAAGCCAGACATACACAGGGAGAAGATGCAAACTGCAGGAGGCACTACCCACTGAGCCGGCAGCTCTGCTACTATTTTATTCATACATTTTTTCAGCATGATTCCTGACAAATACAGAAGTGGATCTTTGAAACTTATACCATGTGTCTTGGTGTCCTGATATACCGACTTATCTGAGGATTTCATCCAGAGCATCTGAGAGTCATTCCCGATTATACAACACGGTATTTAGAGAGAGCAGATCAGGTTAAGGGGTCAGGATGCCAACGGCAGCTAAACTGCAGCTCACCAGGCTTGCGGGCGGCACTCGTACCTTTATGGTTGAAGTCGTAGATGTAGTTGGGGCAGGCGGTGGACACGACCTTGCCGGGCCCCCCCCCTGGCCAGCACACGATGCCATCCCATTCCGGCTGGCAGAAGCCGTCTGAGGGGCAGAGGGAACGTGCCGTTTAGGGAGTGCGAATTTGTTACACTCCTGATGCGCCAACAGGATGAAGACCACTCCACGTTTACAAACATGAAGCAGAAAAACTTGTTTATTGGGGAACCTTGGACACGTTTAGTGCTCCAGATGGCCAGTAATTAATGAATCCAATACCATTACACCATAAAAGGCGCTACAGATAATTTGTTCCTTTCTTTAATTGAACCTTGTACAAAGCCTTTAACAGTCTGCATAGTGAAATCTGTAATAACTGATTACTCAGTTCATGGCCCGCAATAACAAAACAAAAAAAGTTCTTGTGATGTAGGGAGCAGCGTGCCAAGCTGGGAACACTGGTAAAAGCAAGATTTGTCTCACAACGGAGAGCCGGGTTCGAAGCCTTGAGAGGAAGCTGAGAAAACATAGGCTTTGTATGTCGCTGTGCAATAACATTTCCTGACTACTAAAACTTCTAAATAAAAAGACAGCTTATTCAACTCAAACACAGATTTAAATTTAGCCAGCTTTCATTACTATGTACACAAACCCTTATTCATCTCTGTATGTTTTATCCGAATAGCCACACATCAAAAGGAAGTACGAACGAACGAACGAACATCGACATCACCTACGTCTCTGAGCTGGCAGCGCTGTCAGAAACTATGAACTGAACGTCCGATGCATAAATAGGTTGTAATAACAACCATAAAACGACTGTACATGAGCACGGGTAAAAGACGATTCAGCAAGCAGCACCAGCTGGAAGCTCTCACTGCCAGATGTTGAGTTGAATCCCAGCCTAAATGCACTAAAATAAGTCATCATTATAGGTTCATTTAGTGTCTACCTTTGGCATTGCATACTATTTGTTTGGTAAGATTTGTCGCTAATTAAACGTAAATGCTTAGAGTGACTAAAGATGGATAGGGTAAATATTTAACCTAAAACTACAAATATTTACAATATTCAGAAGGACTTCGATATGGTGGGGGGTCTATATTGGGACGTAAAAATGCCGTTCAGCGTATTGAGACGTCTCCCAGAACCACAGCATGAATCCATTCTCCAGGCTCCAAGGCTCTCAAACTGTACACCACGTACTTTGGCTGGGCTGTATGCATCACGATAATGTTTCTCCAGTTTACGTTCGACAGAAGGGGGGGGGGGGCAGGCCGGTTTCCTTACAGTTAATTTGGTTTTAAAAGCTGTCAGCTGCCTGTTTCTCAGAAAGATTGTCATGCAGACCATGTTCACAACTACCCTTTCAATACTGACGCTTAGGTGCAGTAAAAATCCACCATGTCTGTTCTACATAATTATTAGTGGTTATATCATGTATAATGAAAAAGTAATTTGGGTAATTTGGAAGCAGCCATATTGCGAAACAACTGCAAATTCGGTTCTGTCATGCCAAGCCCGGCTCCCATCCTGTTCTAAAATGAGTAACCACAGCGAATATTCCGATATCCTTGTGTATGTTCATCTCACTGTAAGCTTCTGTAACGCTCAATTAACGTCCTTTTACTTTGACGCTGAACAATTTCAAGTTCATTACTTCTGACGCCCTTAGAGCTACGTGTTTGTACCAGGACTTATGGTCTTAATATTTTTCATTAAAAGACAGAACTACATATGCACACGTTTTCCCCCTCATGAAGAAATGCAAAAGAAAGATTTTAAATGGTGTGTTCACCAGGGCGGCCAATAAAAGTCTAACGGGGTTCCATAAAAGAAGACTAACCACTTCAGTGTTTCCCATACTCATTCCCATCACTTAATCTCTGGGAATGATTACTATGTGGATGCATTAGCGATTCTGACTGTTTTGGTACATACAGAACCCAGGAAAAGTTTTTGGTTGTCCAGCTTGCCACCATAAGCACAAGGTATCTGAAAGTGACTGAGCTTGCGTGATCATTTAATGCATTACTTCTAATTAAACAGTCAAATTCATTACTCCACTTAATGAGAGCAGGTTCTTTGCGTTTGAGGACAGTCTGGCAAAAATCTGACTGAAACAGGAGCATCATTAACGGAATACAGATCAAAACAAACTCTCCATCAATTTTGGGCTGAATGCATTCTTCTGAGATTTAACCGCTCAAGACAATCTAGCCTAATGACTACATCATGTGTAGAAAACCCCAATGTCTAATGGTGAGAAAGAAATCCCTCTCTTTCCAGAACATTCTGGCCACAACTCAGGGTCTGTTTCGGCTTTTATTTTCTGTCATTGAAAACAGCTGCTCCCGCTATAACCACTAATAACTAGCTTGGCATAAATGAAAATTTACTTTCTGTGCTGTAGATCTATTATTTTCAATCGGAGTTTTGAAGGAAAACTGAAAGATGACGGCGAACGGAGGCCTCAGCGCTATGCCTACGGGATGGATCCTGACAGATCTCCATGCCATTAGAAGCCAGAGGGACTTTTTTTTGTTTTCACAGGGACTGCCATACTGGTACACCTCCACTGACATGCTCCGAAACCCGAGTGGCACAGCTGTAAGAAATCACTGCATTACTTTCCTCTCACGTTTCGCTGTTCGGTCCCATGACCCCCTCAGACCACCTACACGTCGGCCTCAAATTAAACGCCGAACAGAAATATAATTTCCTGAAAATTCCATAACCGCGATTTAAATATAAATGGGGCTCAGGTTGACGTGGGTGGAGTGGGGGTCTCATTTACTGATGTCTTTGAGGGGGTTTTATTAATGCGAATCGTTACTGGTTCCGCTCATTTGATCCTCTCGGCCTATATTGCTCCGAGTCTGGATGTATTTGAGCTGGATGAATTTGGAGTGGGGGGGGTGGCAATGGGCAGTGTTATTCTACCCGGCGACCGCAGGTTTGAATGGTGAGCTATTTCCACACACTGCAAAATCTGAGGCCTCTGCCCACATCCCCTGTCTGTCCGGATCCAGGCAAACCCCAGTGTCTCTCTGTGCCGTCAAGGCAGCCATTGAGGTCCCTTATTTATCCAAGGCACAGAAACTCAGAATCACAAATAAGCGGGCTCCCCCTGGCAGGCGTCGGGGGTGCAGCTTGCTGGAAACTGGCCTTCACTGGCAGGGCATCTCAGACACAAGCAGGACGACTCGCGCGCCGTGGACCACATCACCTGATCCGTCGCGCGCACAGTTCCGATCATTCGTCATCACGCCGATTTCCTAATAATAGGCCGGCTGACCGTCGTGTTTACAGTGGCACCTCACCTCCAGGGCGGGCCCACAAACCACAGGGCAAGATATTGACTGGCCGCGTGTGCCAAAGACAGCAGCGGAACTGTGCGTCCAGTCGCAGTTCTCCGGATTCGGCTCCCGCAAGAAGTTTCGAGGTTTTCGTGCTAATTTTGTATTAAGAGAAGCTCTCTTTTTTTAATGTCCGCTCAGAGAAAATGGAAAGAAACTGAACGAATAAATCACATGCGGCCCACGTGCCACTGTCAGATTTGAAATGGGACCTTTGTGCTCCAGAAAACTAAAATTAAATCCCTAAATCTGGCACTCAAAGAGATCCTAGGGACCGTCTGAATTCCTAGCAGAAGGTTCTTCAACGGTGGACCAAACTACCTGCCTGAGAGTAACACAGGAGGATTTCAAAAACGCATTTTGACATTGACGCAGACCACCTAATTACTCACACATGTGGCCTTATCTATTGTCCTCTATATTTTCTTGCCTTCAAGGTCTGCAAAGTAATAGAAAGAACCCACAGCAAATGAAATATTGTTAAGCAGCGATTTTCCAAACCGCAGTATTTTCTCTTTGTAATGAGACGTTCGGTGTTTCACTCCCCCCCCCCCCCCCCCCCCCCCCCCCCCCCCCCAAAACGAATGGGCTGTTTCTGCTACGTGTGCTTAGAAAGACGGTCCGCGACCGTCAGCTTGCATCGAGTGGGGCCTGTCGGAAATATTCTTAGGTAGATGGAGATGATTACTCCGAGAAACATAACATCCGATGCGGTGCCGATGTTAGCGATCCTGCTGTTTATGAGACATTCCTGTAGATGTCAGAAGGCAGAAAACAAGCCTCAGTATCCTGCTGGGGGAAACACAGCGAGGACACGACACTCCCTGTGACTGGTGCCTTTGTTCTGCTGCTGTAAATGACAGGACACTGTGCACTGAACCAAAAGCAGTCAGAGAGAATCTGCGGTCTATGTTTTCAAACACGGCGGTTTTGAACAAGCCATCTGAGAAGCGGAGTAAGTGGGGATCCGCGTGGAAATAAATGAAGCTGTGCTGTTTATGTCTCCAAAGCCGCCGTCATCGTCATATTGAAGGCTATCTCCCGGCCATTCCTGTAAACTCTGACATCTACAGTATGCACTGTCATAAAGAGGTCCAGCCCTTAATCAAGCAGAGATTCCAGGCTACACCATGACCAGAAACATACCTGCTATAGACTTAAAAAACATTTTTTCGAAAAATATAATTTATCACCAAACAGAAATATAGAATCAAACACAACGAAATCATATGGAGAAAGTTAAGCATCACAGGATCGTATAAAGATTGTACCACAAATTTCCTTCTTTGGTAAGTCAAAGCCCTGCGCGTATCTCACAGCAATAAAGAAAAAAAAAAAATAATAAATAATAATAATAAATAGAATGATGAACTGGTAAAAAGACATTTGAAAAAAAGAAAAAACTATAAAAAGGGCCAAATTCATGGAAGCAAATATTTCACTCTATAACTACTATCCACACAGAAACATTTCCAGGTTTTTCTCAATTAAAAAAAAAAAAAAAAAAAACCCAACATTTTTAAAAAAATCATCCATATTTGCTAGTGCACAGGTCCTGTCTGTCCTTGAATGTACTCTGGATGGACCCACAAGGGCACAGTGCAACTTCTCTGGATGTTTATTTTGCATCGGCCCTTTTACAGGTACTGCACAGCTATTACAAAAACCTTCAGACGTCAGACATTTTTTCTTTCTTCGCAAAACATACAGAACGTGAGACGATCTGTGGTTTTGCAGGCAGCTACA